CCAGTCGTTGGCCATCACCAACGTTTGACGACTGGCTAGAGGAGGAAGAAGGGAAGAAAAAAAAGAAAGAAAAGAAAAAAAGGAAAAATAAAATAGTAAAAAAATTCAAAAAAATTATTAAAAATTGTCTACGTCAACATTGGCTGTCCTACGTAGCACGACCCATGTTAGCGATTTCTTACCAAAATTGGCCAAATGGACTCAATGGCAAAATATGAAATGTTTATGACTCAATTAGTAAATTTAAAAGACTTATGACTGAATTGGCAAAAGTGCGATAGGTTTAGGATGTTTTGAACAATTTTCTCCATATTTAAAACCAAGAACCGTGGCAAAAGAATTTGTTGCACTTTGGACTGAGTAGGGTCCGCTACCAATGGACCGACCCGACCCGACCTGGTTCATGTAATTCAAATAGTTCCCGTGCAGGGAACTACCATTGGAAGAAAAAACTTCTTTAAAAGCAGCACACGATCTGGATGTGTTCAACTAGAAAGAATGAGAAGGTTTTTCTTCTTCTCCTCTGCGCATGGACATAAGAGGGCCGCCAGTGCGAGATAGACATTCACACGTGAAACACCCTCAACAAGATGCCAAAGCAAGTCTCATCAAGTTGGGAAAAGTACCAAAAAAGTCCTAAATCTGTTGCATTTGTACAAATTCGGTCCAAAACTTTTTAATTGGGCTAATTTAGTCATAAACATTTCACATTGGTACCAATTTAGACCATTCGGCCAATTTAGGCCAGAAATTGCTGATGTGGACGTCGTGGCATGGCCGGCAATGATTTGGATAATTTTTTATAATTTGTTAATAAAATTTTGAATTTTTTTATTGATTTTTGCAAATTTTTTCCCTTTTTCCTTTTTTTTCTTTCCTTTTGTTTCCTTCGGCCTGTGGCCGATACTCGGCCATGGCCAGCGACAGCCACTGGCGAGGGCTCGACCCTTGCCGGCCGTCACCGTCGCAGCCGTCGCCTGTGGCCGGTCACCAGCCATGGCCAAGCACCAGCCATAGCCCAAAGAAAAAGAAAAGGAAAGAAAAAAAGGAAAGGAAAAAAAAGAAAAAAAGAGAAACTATTAATGAAAAATTCGGAAATTTATTAAAAAATTATAAAAAAAATTTATCCACATTTGCGCCGACCATGCCATATAGGACGATCGGCGTTCACGTTAGCAATTCCGGTCTAAATTGACATGATGAACTGAATTGATACTAATTTGAAAAGGTTTAGGACTAAACTAATCAAATTAGAAGTTTAGGATTGAATTTCGCAATATTCAAAGACCAAAAAGTCTTATGTTTAGATCCATTCATATTCTATTAATAAACCAATGACCAATTAATCAATCCTAGGAATTTTAGAATCATCAGAGACCAGAAGTCTTTTTTCAGATCAATTCATATTCGAAGTCATTGTGATGCATGCTCCATGGGTAAGCATGCGAAAGGTTCGTTTTATTTCTAAGAATTTTGTATCAAGAAATTGTCCTTTGAAAAAGTTGCATGCAGACTTTAGGAGGACATAGAGTCCTTGTGGTAAAAGATACGGTCTTGTTGATATGGATGGTTATTCTTGATTCACGTGGGTGTGATTTTTATCTTATGAGAAAGGCCATGGAAATGCAAAAGGAAGGCATCGAAACCAGATCATCTGTAAATCGATGACGAACCAGTATGCTTTTTCATATCTCAAAAAACCAAAAGCGTTGATGATGCTCTTCTTGCCAATGCTGAGCGGTTCATAGCATTGCAAGAATCGGGCGAGGTTGACCAAAAGCAGAGAGAAGCACCTGTTGGGAACGGGGGTTCTTGAAAAGCATAGTGTGATCATACATTCAAGAGAGGATTTTCAACCCTTTTGTTTTTCCACACGATCAAGCGGCGGTAATTGTAGGGATCAAAAGGAAATCACCAAGACCGGGTGTTATGGGGGCATTTGTTGGCCCTCGACATTCAATTATATTTAGGGTTAATATAGCGAAAAACTCCAAATAAGTACATCTGTGACAAATTTACTTTAAACTAATTTTTTGACCACGAAAAACCCCAAATTTGTACATTTGTGACAAATTTACCCTTAATTAGTTTCAGTTAAATTGGATTAATACTACAAAAAATCACAAACTGGTATACCCGCAAGCTGCCACTTGTCATCCAACTCAACAAGTTGATGGTAAAATTTAATAGAAACTAACGGATGATAAATTTGTGACAAGTGTATCAATTTGGGGTTTTTGGTTGTTAAAAAATTAGTTTGGGATAAATTTGTTACAGATGTACCAGTTTAGGGTTTTTCGTGATATTAACCCTTATGTCTATTATCTCGACCTAAAGAAGAGGCTTCATTTCAAGCTAAGTCAATAGGAATAGAAGGAGACTGATGATTACGAAGGATGACATTGAGCCACAAGCACACAAAGGGGTACCGTACATTGCATACATGTACGTACGAATCGAGCTTGACGTGGACACGCGGAATCAGTTTTCTATTGCGTTAGCTAATCATGTATTCAGTTTCGGCGACGTAGATAGTGTCCTATCCATCTGCCGTTGGGCCATTCGAAAGAGAAGATCCGTGGCCGCTTTGAGAATAAGAAGCAAAACACGTGCGACAAACATATGTACGAACTTGAACGGCTTGATTTTTGGAGTCGAAAACACACGTTTCGTTTGCTGTTGCTGTTGCTATTAGTAGTTTTGAATTGTGGGTGTGAAGGGTACGAATGGAGAGGTCCACACTAAGACAAGGAGAAATTTGAACCTTTGGAGGGGAGGTCGCAAGCAAAGCGATTCTTCGTACACAACTCGTTTCACAGAAAATGAGTGATTTGAAAAATATTTTCTAAAAATGATTGCTTATATCGTTTAGAAAAATTAGTTAACGGAAAATATTTTCATCATCGATAATAATCTATGTCTAACTATTTTCACGTGCGATGAAATTTTTTTTCATTCATTTATATTTTTAAATGATATAAGTGATTATTTTTCGAAAAATATTTTTCAAATAATTCATTTTCCGTAGAACGAACGCACTAAATGGGAAAACGATTTCTCATGACAGGAAACCACGATCAATGAAAACGGCGTATGAATGGCCTCACCATAAAATCTTGAACATTCCGAAATCATGCTTGGACCCCATTATTTAAAAAAAAAAAGGTTTACGTATTCATCCATATATCTTGGTCCCACTGGAATATTTTTTAGGGTTAATATCACAAAAAATCCTAAACTGGTACACCTGTGATAAATTTTCTAGAACTAATTCTTCGACCACAAAAAATCTCAAGTTGGTACATCCGTGACAAATTTACCCTTCATTAGTTTCCATTAAATTTTACCGTCGAATTGCCAAGATGGATGACGCGTGACAGTTGACGGGTATATCAGTTTAGGGTTTTACCCTCCATTTGTCATAGGTTTACTAATTATAGTTTTTCGTGGTATTAATCCAATTTAACGGAAACTAACGGAGGGTAAATTTGTCACAAATGAACCAGTTTGGAGTAAATTTATCACAGCAGTATCAGGTTATGGTTTTTGTGGTATATTAACCATACTTTGTTTTAATTTCTTTACGTTCTAAAGTTTGAGGAAGTGTAATTAGGAGCTTTGGGCATAAAAGACTTCCGAATTTGAGAGTTATGCCTTACAACCGATCGTGCTTCTAAATACAAAATATGAGGAATGGGGAATAATTATTTACAAATTTGAGAAGTAATGTTCGGTATAGATAGAATTTACGACTAGGTTCATCTCTATGTTCGTAACATCGACTATCTATTGAGAACTCACGTATTGCGAGAGATTCTTTATAAAAAAAATTCAAGAGCTATTGTCCTATTTAAAAGATTATTAAATTGGTCATACTTGTGGCACGTTTTAAGGGAAAATTGTCAAAAAGGTTCTAAACCCATTGCGATTTTGCCAATTCAGTCATAAACCTTTGAATTTTGTCAATTGAGTTTTAAACATTTTTTATGATTTGCCAATTGAGTTCATTCGGTAAATTTTAGATGGAAATCGCTGACATGGATGCCGGCCGTCCTACATGGCGCGGTTGGTACTAATATGGATAATTTTTAATAATAATTTATTCAATTTTTTTATTTTTCTTTTTTCTTTTCTTTCTCTTTTTTTGTTCCTTCTTCCTCCTCTAGCCGGTCACCGAGGCCCAGCAACTGGCCAGAGGCGAGGGCTGGTGATGTCGTTGGCCTCTAGCGAAGCTTATTGGTGAGGTCGACCTCGTCAGACTTTGCCTTTGGCCGATCGTTGGCCATCACCAACGCTCGACGACCGGCTAGAGGAGGAGGAAGAAGGGAAGAAAAAAAAGAAAGAAAAGAAAAAGAAAAAAGGAAAAATAATAAATAAATAAATTCAAAAAAATTCAAATATCATTAAAAATTGTCAACGTCAGCGTCAGCTGTCCTACGTGGCACGACCCAATTTAGCAATTTCCTGCCAAAATTGGCCGGATGGATTCAATGACAAAATGTGAAAAATTTATGACTCAATTGGTATAATTGAGAGGTTTAGAATTGAATTGGCAAAAATGCGATAGATTTAGAACTTTTTGAACCGTTTTCCCACATTTAAAACCAAACACCTATGGCAAAAGAATTTGTTGGACTTCGGACTGAGTTGGGTCCGCTTCCGATGGGCCGACCCGAACCCAGTTCATGTAATTCCAACTAGTTCCCCTGCAGGGAAAGGCTATTGGAAGAAAAAACTTCTTTAATAGCAGCACACGATCTGGATGTGTTCAACTAGAAAGAGCGAGAAAGAAGGTTTTTCTTCTTCTCCTCCGTGCATGGACATAAGAGGGACGACAGTGCAAAGTAGACATTCACACGTGAAACACCCCTCAACCAAGATGCCAAAGCAAGTCCCCCATTAAATCATCATCGACGGCAAAAACGCCATTCCGTTCTCGCGATCGGGCCTTCGACCGACGACACGACAATTGCACCGGGGAAACAAGTATCGATCACGGGGACGCGACAGAAGGTACGGTTTCGCTAGCTATGACATCCAACGGAGACCGAGGACTTCGGCCCGATAGGTTGTTTGGGAACTAAAGCTACTTACAGGAGATCATATGCTATGCTGCTTGCACAAAATATAGGATAAGAAACTACAGAATTCCATTGTTACACTTAACGAAAAAGGGCGATGAAGAGAGATGGAGAGAGAGAGAGAAGCTAATTCCTTTCTATTTATGACAAGCCGCAAAAAGCAGCTATACATCAAATCACAAGTAAACATATACGTGGGGCAGATCGAGCTTCGGTTTGAGAAGTCTTCATTTAAAGAGCTTGTCGGAGCAATGAATCAACGAAAGCGCTTCGATCACTGACGCGTGAGGCGGACTGGGAGGCCATTCTGTGGGGCAGGCATCATGTCCCCGACTATCTTTTCCGTCGGATTCACCAGTTCCCATTTGAACCTCCGGACCACGTTGTGAACGAACGCGAGGATCGCCAAGCGTGCGTACTCTTTGCCTGGGACAGAGAATTTGGAAGCAAGAAGTCAATTCAAAGAATCTAATGATATCATGTTATAAAGAACAAATGTGGAGTTCTGGAGACTCTGTAAGTGTGAACTCTAATACGAGATGCATATGTGTAGACGAAATTGACACAAACGATTCTTGAACTTTGGCTCAGTGTATAATGTGGTCCCTGAACTTTCAGTTTGTTCAATATGATTCATGAATTTTAGTCTAAATATGTAACGTGATCTCTGAACTTTCGGTACATGTTCAAACTAATCCTTAAGTCAATTCAAGAGTCTAATGATATCATGTTATGACAAACAAAACGTCGATCTCGAGACATTATAAGTGTGAACTCTAATACGAGATGCATGCATTTGAAGTACAAAATGCTTTTTTCATTCTTTACCTGGACACATTCTTGGCCCACCTCCAAAGGGAACGAATGTGAATGCAGGGAAAGAGTTGCCATCGTCGTATCTTGACGGGTCGAACTTCTCCGGCTCTGGGAAGTACACTGGGTTTTTGTTTGTTGTGCTAACAGTCCAATAGACCTAACAAAGACAATCAAAGTGATGAAAATCACAATCTTTTAGGAGGTACATACGTGAAGAGTTGGTATGTATACAGATGTACGGGCTACAGCACAATTATTTAAATTCAATTTTTTACACTAAATATGTTTGTTCATATGGTCTTTCGCACTAATTTTGATGCATTAGGCTCGACCTAGACCTGATCGATGGGCATGTGAGGCTTGATACCGGGCGGAACTGTCCTTTTGCCAAGGGCATGCCCATGCTAAAACGGATTAATAAATTATCTATACAAATTGACAAGGTTGAGCGACCGAAGGTGGGCGAATTCGGTTTAACAAGGAACACGCTTGCCCAAACCCACCCATGTTGCCCTTCGGACCGACCAGGAGCGGGCTCGATCATGCGTCGATCAGGTCAAGTCAGATTAGGTAAGTCACCTATATTGAAATTACGTAATATGGAAGGAATAACTTTCTCACGTCGCTCGATCTCAAAGAGGTTTTTGCAAAACGAGTCACATACCTTCCATCCCTTTGGGATGGTGTAACCAGCATAGGTGAAATCGGTTAGGGCCTCTCTAAAGGTTCCTTGGAGAGGTGGGGTGAGCCTCATGACTTCGTTCAGCACGTTCCACGAGTACTTCATCTTATTGATGTCGTCCCACTCCAGCAACTCCCCGGATTTCTTCGATGCTGCGACCTCCAATTGCTCTATATATCAAAGGAGGGAAAAACCCAAAAGAAACACCATGAGACATATCTAATATTTTCAAATTTTAGGGAATTTTGCTATGTAAAGTCCAGGTTACACAACTGTTAAATCTTATCTTTTACAGAACTTAAAGCAAAAAACATGCATTTCATGTTGCATAGCCTATGCAAAGTTCAAGCTATATATCGGAGAAGATGCATGGCACACGCGTCTGTTCCGAAGGTTATTTTTGGGAAAGGAATTGACGGGTCGAAGTGCTTACCATCCAGCACCTTCTTGTATATGTCAGGCCTCTCTCCAACATACTTCATGAAGAAGGTCATGGCAGTGGCTACGGTGCTGTAGCCAGCGGTCAAGAGCCCCATGATCTTGTCGGCGATCTCGGCCTCCGGCATGTGTTTCCCGGAGGGATCGCTGGCCACAATTATGTGCGACAGTATGTCTTGCATCGGGGCGCCGCTCGAGATGGCGTCCTTCTTGTCTTTGATCACCGCCCGCAGCTCCTTCCTGATCGCCGCCGCGGCCTTGTTGGCCTTGTGGAAGATGGTGCCCGGGAAGTTGAGGGTCATCGAGTGCAGGCCGAGTGTTATGTCGTCGAAATAGTCCACGAGCCGCGCGATCCGCTCCGGCTCGTCGGTGCCGATGAAAAACCGGCATGCGAGGGTGAGCGTCAATGACTTGGCCAGAGGGTAAGCCCTGACTTCCCTCTTGCCTTCCCACTCGCTTTGCATTTGCTGTTGTGTGATGGTGTCCATCTTCCCCAAGTACCTTACTAGAGCTTCAGGCTTGAGAAACCCGGGCGAGCGGAGGATTTTCTCTTCCTCTTTGCCGGGAGGCGGGGCCGCCTTCTTGTGGGACCGGAAGATCATTTGCATCGAGTGTGGCCGGAAGGCGGTGAAGTACCTCTGCTCATTGGAGAAGAGGAACTTGTGCCCATTCGGACCGCAGATGACCGCGGTGTCTTCGCCGAGGATTCGGGTCTTGAAGATGTCGGGGGAGTACTTCGCCATCCTGTCGAAGACGAACTTGTCCGGCTTGCCGAACAGGAACTCGATGGTCTCGCCGACGATCGGCCACCCGAAGCTACCCGGCGGGAGGTTCTTGCCCTTGCTCTTGCCGAGTCTCGACGCGAAGGCGATCAGTGCGAGCGTGAGAGTTGCAGCTACCAAAGCAAGGACGATGAAGAAGGTCTCCATGGTTGGTGTGTACTTAGTGAGAGGTTGGGGGTTTCGGGGAAGATATGGAGATGGGCGAGGAAGGTTAAGAAACTGTGGTTTAATATTATAGGAGATGATGATGATGATGTAACCCGTCCAACGACCGGAACCTCAAAAGTTTCTATAGCTTATGCCGTCATTTCACACCGCAATCTCAAGCCGAGAAGATATTGGGTAGGACTGATTTTCCAAAATCATCCATAAATAACTCCATTACTCGGACAACGCCTGACAATGTGGGTCCTACTCTTTCTCCTCTCCATTACTCTCTCTCTCCTCGGTTACTCACAACGTTACTGACCGACTCTCTCTCTTCCGATTTACACTTTCCTCTTCTTCTTCTTCTTCTTCATCTACCTCCCATAGACCTATCAGTATGATTTAATAAGCTATGCCCAGAACTTCGATCATGACAAGAGATCGTCATCGTTCCTCGTTTGTCAAAGCTTATTGAGCGATTGATGTAATGTCGTAGTGAGAGAGCTAAGTAAAGGAAATCGAATAAAAAAAAATGGGAATGAGGAAGAGGAGGAGAGATCCAGAATCGTTCGAATAAAAGATCCCTAGATCTAGACCCCAATGGACTGAGTCCCCTGTCTTTCTTCTTCTTTTTTTAGTTGTTACCGAGATTGTTCAAGACTTTATTCTTTTCTTGTTTTCCATTTTTTTTTCTCTGTCTTCATGTTGGTGAGGTTGCTGAAAAAGAGTACTCTTTTTTTTTTTGAGTTAATATCACAAAAAATCTCAAATTAGTACGCTTGTGACAAATTTACCAAAAACTATTTTTTAACCACAAAAACCTCAAACTGATACATCTGTGTCAATTTTATCCCGAATTATTTTTTTGACCATAAAAAACCCTACACTGGTATACCTGTAACAATTTTACCTCGAACTAATTTTTTGACCATCAAAAACCCCAAACTGATATACTTCTGACAAATTTACCTTCCGTTAATTTCCGTTAAATTTTACCGTCAAATTGCTCAGTTTAATGACACGTGGTAGTTGATAGGTGTACCGGTTTGGGGTTTTACCCCTCTATTTATCACAAGCTTACCAATTTGTGATTTTTTCGTGATATTAATCAAATTTAACGAATATTAACGGAGGGTAAATTTGTCACAAATGTACCAGTTTGGGGTTTTTAGTGGTCAAAAAATTAGTTCGAGGTAAAATTATCACAGGTGTATTAGTTTGGGGTTTTTGGTGGACAAAAAATTAGTTCGAGGTAAAATTGTCACAAGTGTACCAGTTTAGGATTTTTGGTGGTTAAAAAAATAGTTCGGAGTAAATTTATCACAAGTGTACCAGTTTGGAGTTTTTTATGATCAAAAAATTAGTTCTGAGTAAAATTATCATAGGTGTACCAGTTTGAAATTTTTGGTGGTATCAATCCTTTTTTTTTTTATTTCCTTGTGAGCCTATAATTAGAGAGCAAATGAGAAAGAGTTATATCAATCAAAGCTAGATTCTCAATGTTACAGTATCGAGAATTGTTATTGTTGGGGTCTCTGTGGATTTAGGAATATTTGCTCTTCCTGTGCACAAAAATCAGGTCACCAAATGCTTGGAGATCACGCACTTTGCAGAGTTTATGGCCCAAAAAAAAATGAAAAATGAAGCTCTCTGCATTGTGCGTTGATGATGGAGGTGTCGTGTTTATGGATGTGTGCCGAAGAAGAAGATGGTGAAAGGTGGAATGGTGGGAGAGAGAGAGAGTAATGATCGTCGGTAGAAAAGTTTGGGTGGGACTGTGACAGAGAGAAGAGAGTGACAGAGGAGAGAAAGCAGAGTCAAGGTAATAGTGGGACCCACATTGCCACACGTCGCCTCAGGAATGGAGTGACTTATGAATGCCGTGGAAAATTAGTCCTACCCAATATTTTCCAGGCCTGCCTTCTTTGAATTGACCTAGTCTGCTTCTTTTATCATTTTCCCATCTCTCTCTATCACTATTAAAGTAACTTCATAAAGAATTTTTTACCAAACGTCATTTACATTCCCTTAAAAAATTTTAACCTAAAAATATTTACATTCCTCAAAGGCCCCTTCTCAAAATTGAACCAAATGACCTGTGTCTAGCATGCAGGGCCTGGGCAGTACGCATTTGGTATTGCTGAATAACAAAAGCTTGCAGGTGGTCACTGAGACCGTGAATAATCAAAGATACAATATGTAATTATGACTCATGGGGCGCGTTAGTGAACAATGTATTGTAATCCAATCAACATCTTTATTTATTTATTTTAGGAATATGTTGATTATTTACCAAAAATCCTAAAACTTATCACGTAAGTACAATTGAGTTTTAAAACTTACAAAAGTACGATCAAGTCCTAAAACTTATTAAATTGATGCAATCGAGTCCTTCCGTTAACTCTGTCCAACTTGATTGACGGAGAATACTAATGTGGCTTTTTAAAAAAATCATTTTCTTTATCATACTTGGCGATGACGTATTTGAAACAATGTTGTTTTAGTCCAAATCTGATTTTTAATATAAATTTTATTTAAATTATTTCAAAAATAAGCTAAACTTTTTTTATAAAAAAGTTAGAACCGGCAGTGAGGGCTTTGCCTGGTTCTAACTCCCTTTTTTTTCTACTAATTTTTTTTTAATTCAATTTAAATAAAATTTGTATTGAAAATCAAATTTGGACCAAAACGTTTTGTGCTTTAGCCATGTCATCGTCATGTAGGAGAGAGAAAATAATAAAAAAAGCCACATCGATTTTTTTCGTTAGCCAAGTTGGACGGAGTTAACGAAAAGACTTGATTGCACCAATTTAACAAGTTTTAGAACTTGATTACACTTTTGGTAAGTTTCAAGATTCAATTGTACTTTACCTACAAGTTTTGGGATTTTAGTGCACATGTCCCTTTATTTTACCTTATTGTCAACTACCGACTAATCCTCTTGGTCGTTTTAAGCCAGCCGGAATGTGTGGCCAAATCATAGAACATCGTGCGAAATTCAGGGGAGAAGTACATCGCTCACGTGCGCGAGGTATTCGAGTTGACCCGCCAAGATTAATTTACATGGGAGATGCTCTGATTGAAATACGGAATCTGTTGAATACAAATAAAGACAACATTGCACATTCTAAATGGTCCTGTACACTTTGTTCGAAAATAAAGAAAAAGGAAGGGAAAAAAACTAGAGATAGCTTTACAAATAATAAATGCAAAAATTAAAGCATGACACACATAAAATAGTTATCTTTTTACAGTGACTAGTGTTTTAAGGGTAAAATTCATTAGAAGTCTCATATTTTTCGTGTAGGGTACAATATTCTAATCTCAATCTTTCGAACTGCACGATCAAGTCCAGCGGACTATCAGGAGCTTGTGACAGAGGCAATCCAAAATATCTTCAATGGCAGCCTTTTATTGAAAATTTGTCCTGTTTAAGAAGTTGGAGACACAATGAGCATAAGAAAATTGATTACGCATCTCAGGAAATGTTTCAAAGTACATTGCGTGAGTTGAATTTGTGAATCATTAGAAAAATCGTTATGGCTTTTGTTACATTTCGTACGTTGGACTAAGAAAAATCAGTCTGTTTTTTTGTCCTCTTTCCCCTGCTTTTGTTGAAGTTTCAAAATATAAATATACTAATTTTGCATTTTCTTGCATGTCTCACTCCGGCTTTCTTAAATTCTTAATGGGGTCAAATTTGTAGACTTGAAGACTTAACGTGGATAAACGTCATATGCTAGGAAATATATACTACACTGAATAACATCTTAGTCAGTCGAGCTCACCCAAGCATGGCCCGAGCAATCCCGGAAAATAACAGGATGAAGGTCCACTATTCTGCATGGTGCCAGCTCCTTCAATGTGTCGACAAATCTCAACCGTTGATACATTGAGAGGTCGTTTTACAATTTTTTTCCAAATGGATTGACTATTAAGATTGTTCAGCAACCGAAGTACTGCATAAATATAGGGATTGGATCTCCATCCTACAAAATATGGGATGAAGATCTTTTATCGTAATATTCTGTCGCATGAATATACTAATTATATTTGTTAAAATATATCTTGAATTTAAGCCAGCGAACGAAGCAGACCCAAGATGAATTATAATTGATGTGGACGTTCGAAATATTGAGCAAAGAAAATGGGGATATAATTTTTCTTTGCTTCTGGAGTCGCCCAACGAAGAAAAAGAAAAGGAAAGTTTTTTTTTTTTTGATAACCAGGAACCCTCCGCACGGCCGACAGCCGGAGGGGTAAACCTGGGGTGACGCTAGCGCAGGACCCACCACCACGGCGCCACACTTAAGAATCCCTAACGACTACGCTGGGGTTCGAACTCCGATCCCTTCGTGGGGGGGACAAGAACGCAAGCCAACGCAGCCGCTGCAGGCGGTGATAGGAAAGTTTGGGTCAATAAAAGTGAAAATAAATAAATTAAAGACTAAATCTCCACTTTCGTGATTCACGTCCTGGTCACAGTCAAGAAAGGAGAAGTACAAGTTGGACTTTGGATTCACCGAATCACACGGACTCCTTCCCCAATTAGAAGTTGGCCTGATCGTCCCTGGGTAAATATATGTATTGTTTTTTATCTTCGCTGTTGGCTATTATTTAAGCGCTATTTACAGTGAGTGCTTGGCAATGGGTTATCTTGGTGGATTTGTGTTGAAGCCAATTAATCTTGTGATAAGATTTATTAATTCTTTTGTGAGATTAAGAGATTATTTCGTAAGAAATTGTGAGGCCAAATACTATGTGCCTTATTGGGTATGAAGGGAAGCTGAGAAACACTGAGAGTGTTTGAATGATGCGAGTGTGGTTGTAATCTCCATTGTATTGCTTAATCAATAGTAGAATTCATTGCTACTCTCCCCGTGGATATATGTCACTAAAATCTAATATCTGATTTATTTTCTTATTTTGTATATTTGTTGACACTTGATTTTTTGCCCATGTTTCAAATTTTCCTAAAAATTACAAAATTAGGATTAGCAATTTTGGCCATGCTTAGGAACCTGTTTCTAAACCAAAAATAATTTTTCTTAGAATTTTCATGAATTTTTCCTTATTTCATTTTGGCTAAAATGAGTGAAAATCAAGAAAAATACCAAATGGAATTCAAAAATTCCATAAAAATATAAAAAATATCATTAGTCTTA